AATGCTGTGTAACTATTATTCTTCCATCTTAGTCTAATCGTTTAAACCTTATGCAATGTGGGTCCCAAGACTCCTGAGAAACATACTCAGCTGCTAGCATATTTTCTCGTATGTGTATTAGAAACAAATATTTTGTCTTTTTCCAGTGTTTATTTCTGTTAGAATATGGAACTTGTAAAGGAAAGTATTTGCAAACGTTGAATAACATTCTGAGGGATATTTCTGTTTGGCTGTCTTCAAGTTTCTATTAAGGAAGCTCAAAGCCAGTTATGGTGGCGCATGCCTATAGTCTCAGCTACTAGGGAGGTTGAGGCAAGAGGATTGCTTGAGCCCAGGAGCTTGAGGCTGCAGTGCACAATGATCATGCCACTGTCCTCCAGCCTGGGCGACAGAGTGAGTCCCTGTCTCTAAAAAGAAAAAGCTCAAAGATAGTTTTCACCCCAAGTTTCTCTACCAACCCATAATCATTTTCTTTCTTTCTTTTTTTTTTTTTTTTTTACATCATACTCACTTTTATTCTTCATATATATTTTATTTAGTTATAATAATAAGAATACTCCAGGTGGGCCTAGTGGCTCATGCCTGTAATCCCAGCATTTTGGGAGATTGAGGTGGGTGGATCACTTGAGCCCAGGAGTTCAAGACCAGCCTGAGCAATCTGGCGAAGCCCCATCTCTACCAAAAAATACCCCAAAAAAAACCTAGCCAGGTGTGGTGGTGCAAACTTGTTGTCCCAGCTACTCAGGAGGCTGAGGTAGGAGGATTGCTGGAGCCCAGGAGGTGGAGGCTGAAGTGAACCATGGTCACGCCACTACTCCAGCCTGGGTGACACAGCAAGACCCTGTCTAAGGAAAAAACAAAAAACAAAAAATGCATATTTCAAATGAATGAAATTTTTTTTTTTTGTTTTTTACAGGAAAGAAAAAAGATGGTCAAGGAAGCCCAGAGAGAGAAAAGAAAAAACAAAATTCCTAAACATGTGAAAAAAAGAAAGGAGAAGACAGCCAAGACGAAAAAAGGCAAATAGAATGAGAACTGTGTTATGTACAGTCATTTTCATCAGTTACTTTTCTTGCCTGCATCTAGGGTAAGGTACTTTTCTTACCCTAAGCTGCATTAGGGTAAGGTACTTTTCTTACCCTAAGCTGCATTAGGGTAAGGTACTTTTCTTACCCTAAGCTGCATCTGGAAGATGGCTTATTGATTTTAACCAAATTGTCTTCACGGTACTGTCTGTGAAGACTGATTCAAATGTTTTCATGTAATTATGTAAAAAGCTCTAAGCTCTAGAGTCTAGATCCAGTCACTGACTCTGTCTGGTGTTGACAGAGGATTTATTTAAGCTATTATTTTAATGAAGAACCCTGTACATTTTTATTTTTATGTATTTTCTCCTACAAAAATGTTTTTGGAAGCGTGATCAATATTTAAATGTAGACAGCATCTGTAACTCTTACATGAGTGTCCAGAGGCATTCATGGGAGAATTGGTTTTGCTTTCTCTATATGCACCGGAGACCCACCTGAGGTCATCTCATTAGAAGGCCATGTTTATATAATGGGAATTTCACTCACAGTTCAGCTGGCTGTTGATTCATCATTCACTGCAACTCTGCCCTTGTGTGTATTGGTGATCATTTGTAATGTTCTTACACTTTATCTTTTAATGTTCTTTTTGGAGCTAGGACTTCTCAGTTCCTAGCTCCAAAATTCAATCATTTGGCATGTTCATTCCTCAAAAATTTGAAAATTTTAGTTGCTAGGGCTATAGCAGAAAACAAAATAGACAAAAATTACTGTCTTTGGGTAGTTTAATTTTGATAGGAAGATACGACCTTAACCAAAATAAGTAAAAAACAGCATATAAGCAGGTGGTAAATTCTATGGAGAGAAATAATGCAGAGATGTGAGAGCGTCAATAGATGTGGGAGTTTGTAGTTTAAAATAGGGTTCCTGGAAAGACCTTACTGAAGGGCACTGTTTGAGCAAATACTTGAAGAAGGTGAATGGTGTGCATATCAGGAAGGAAGAACGTGCCAGGCAAAGTGAACAGCAGTTGCAAAGCCTTGAGGCAGAATTGTAGGTAACATCTTGCAGAAACAGGGCTGGGACATCCTCATCAAGGAAGAAAGTACTAGATGCAGTCAGATAGTGTAAGGCCGTGGGAGGGTTTTGAGCAGGGGAGTGATATGATCTGACTTCTGTCTTAAAAGGATCACCCTGGCCTCTGTAGAGAATTGACCAAGAAGTAAGGCTGGGAGACCAGTGGGTATGTTCACTGAAGTAAACCCAAGCAAGAGATGCTAATGGCTTGGTATAGGATGGTAGCAGACATGAGAAGTGGTTGCGTTTTCTAAGGGAAGAGATGAGATTGCACGGAATGAAGGATGACTTCGGGATTTCTGACCTAAGCAGCAATTGAGATGACTGGAGTTGCCACTTACTGTGATGAGAAGGACTGTGAGTGGGAGCAGGTTTGGGGAGGATAGGAGGGTGAGATAAAATGAAAGCTTATATTGCAACAAAGCACAGATGCTAAAAGAAATTACCATTTTTGTAAACGATATGCTTTACGTTAGAAGTGACTATTGTAGTCATTGCGTTTAGAAACAATGTCTATCACTCAACCCCTAGTTTTCACTTAAACTGAAGCTTGCCCCTGCTTATTTGACAGTGGGTTTGACAGTGGGTTATTGGGGGAAATCCTTTGAGCTCTTTATTATGTATATTTTGACTGTAAAGTTCAAAATATGAAATATAATTTAAATGAAACACAAAAATAGTCCCTCTAAAATAGTCTACAGTTAGCACAACAAAAGCAAAAGCAAAAGCAGATATCAATCCTATACATATTTTGGGAGTTTATCTTCAGGATCTTCCAATTCTTGTGTTTGTTTTGGTCTTACTCTCTGACACAGCATGTTTGCTCTACGAGGCTAAGCTCCTAGCGCTGTCTTTGCTGTCTCTCACGTGGTTTCCAAGTTTGGAATCAGTGCCACTTGGCCAGATGTGGCAATAGCAGGATTGTGGGGCAGTTCATTCTCTTACATTACTACTGGGAGGAAGTGACTTATAAAGCATCAAGATTTAGTAATGCAGGAAGATTCTAACTTCAGAAAAGTTGTTTTGATACCCCTCTCGCTGATGTGGCTGTATCCTCATTTGGATTCTGGGTCATAAGGTTTTGGCTGGTTAATAGCCAACCACTCATTGTATTCTTGCCAACCTTGTCTGAAATTGTCGTCATCATCAGAAGGCTTAGAAAAAGCCTAATCTTAGGCAAACAACTAGCAGGGCTGTTTGCTGACTTTGATAACAGTTGAATTTTAATTGTTTGGCAGGTTTTAATGTTAATGGTTTATTGGTTGTACAATTACTTTCTATTTGGAAAGGTAAGTTTGGGTCTCTTGGCCCAAAGCTGTGAACATTATTTTGTTGGTTGTAGATATATCTGATTTCACCTTTTGTTGATTTTTCTTATCCGTCAAAATAATGTGGAGGTTTATAAGTTTTCTATGAGAAATCTGGATAACTTATTTGAAGCACAAAATCACAGCTCTTTCCTATGCTGCTGTCCTCATTCTTCCTTTGATAAAGCTGTTTAGGAATGGAATGTTTCTCAGCCTGAAGACACCACCATTTGTTTTTTGTTTTTTTGAGACAGAGTCTTGCTCTTTCGCATGGGCTGAAGCATAGTGGTGTGATCTTGACTCACTGCGACCTTCGCCTCCCAGGTTCAAGTGATTCTTAGCCTCCCGAGTAGCTGGGATTACAGGTGCCCGCTGCCACACCTGGCTAATTTTCGTATTTTTAGTGGAGATGGGTTTTCACCATGTTGGCCAGGCTGGTCTCAAACTCCTGACCTTAGGTGATCTGCCCACCTTGGCCTCCCAAAGTGCTGGGATTACAGGCATGAGCCATCACACCTGGCCAGCACCACCATTTGAGTGTGGTCTTTTAGTGAAGAAATAAGAATGGTGGCAGCTCTTTGCCCAGGTCTGTCTGGTCAAGTATGAATCCATGGTTTTTGGCTAACATCAATTTTTCTTCAGCTTTATCTCTAACTTGATGAAGACAGACCCAAGATGTTGAAAAATAATATAGCTTGTTACTAAGAGTTGTTTGAGATCTTTCATTTTCTTTTCTTTT